ACAATTTCATAGAATTAAATGGCTGGGGATTCTTATCTAATTCTACATGGAAGTTCAGTGACTCTCACATTAAAACAAAGTATCCCTCACCCATACCTTGCCAAAGTGCTAAAAACCAAAAAAATTCAAAGAAACAAGTTTAAAGAAATACATTGAGCTTTTCATCAGAAACTCTCCAAGACAGAAGACACAGGGAACCTCTTTAGATGCCAGTACAATAAACCTTTCAATTAAGAATTCTCAACTCACTAAAAGTATGTATTGAAAATGACATTACTATAGAAACTTTAAAACAAACAAACAAAGCTATCAGAGTCTAGCACAAGAGACCTGTAACACAGAAATGTTATAGCAAATCTGTCTCACAAAGGGAATAAACAGCAGGTAAAATCTGAATCTTTAGGAAAAAAAGAACACTGCAAATGAGAACATGGCAGTAAATATTTTTCTTACAGTTTGTCTAAAGAAAACGTTTTTTTAATTTCATTTATATATGTCCATACTCATTTACATGAGGTCAGTTTGCTGATCTGCTTTTTTTGGGAATTCCTTATCTCTGATATTTGTTCATGTGCCTTAGTTCTAGGTCATTTTATGTATTATTAATGTGTTGATGACTGACATGTAAATTACTATCATTAGCATTTTAATTTTCTTTTTTTAAAGAAAATCATGTTTACCTCATGTATCTCCAACATCTGTGACATCTCTGGGTCTGTTTCACTTGACTGCTCTATCTTTTGATATTTGGTCTTTTAATCTGTGTCTGTGTGTATATCATAAACATGACTATATATTCATTATACTTTATATATATGAAGATACATATATAATTCTAAATAATTTGTTCTAGAAGAGCCTGACATAATAATATTTAAGCCTAGAAATGGTAATGGCTCTTCTATTGAGTCCTTAGAGGGGGGAAACTGAGTGAATGTAGGAAGTATTGAAGCACTGTTTGGGTTTGATGTATTATAGTTTGCTCCAGTGACTTCAGAACTCTAGCTCTTGCTGCTGCTGCATGTTCACTGTGTGGCCTGAGGTGGCTGTGGGTGGTTTTCCTTTTTTGTGTTCCATTCTCAGCTCTCAGTAGACCTGGTGTAGTCATGTCAAAATGACAGGTGGATCTCTGTGAGTTCAAGGCCAGCCTGGTCTACATAGTGAGTTCCAGGACAGCTAGGGCTGCAGGAAGACCCTGTCTCAAAAAAGATCCCCCCCCCAAAAAAAAACAAAAATCCGTCCTACAAAATACAATAAAAAAGAAAACAGGAGTCTCTACTCTTGCCCTTCCTGGTAATTAACCACTGTTGCTTGTTACTCCATGAGAGACTTATGATAGAAACATTGAAGGTTCTTGTCTTCTGAACAGACCCTTGTGTGGCCCTCTGGGTTGCAGTTTCCTTAGGGTCACAGTCAGCCTCTGCCATGGCTTCCATAGATATTCTTGGGTCCAAATTCTCCTACTTTTTCAGAAGGAACAGATTTTTCTTTGATTCATTGCAGGGTTCTGTGCCAATGCCTCTTGTCCTGCTCATCCCTAAGGAAAGACAGCTATTGCTTCCCCCTCACTCTCTTCAGTAAGTGCACTTTTGCCTGGGCCTGGTGGCAAAGGGTTTTCCACCTTGCCCCTGTGTCAGTCTAAGTTTGTTACCAGAACAGAAGCACTGCCTGGGCAGAGGAGGTCTCCTGACCCATCTTCAAGTACCAGCAGCATTTTCCTTCTACTTCCTTAATTAGTGTTCAGAACTTTTGCTTTGTATTAATGAAGTGTTCTAGAAGCAGACAGTGTTTCATAAGGACACTATCATGATTCAAAAGGCAGTCTCTGTCAGTCCATGGTCTGATGTGTTCTTATACCCAACTCTCCAGTTCATGCCTGAGTGCAAACTCCAGTAGGGCCATGACTGCAGGGATTCTAAATCATCGCAGTACCTCTACACTTGATATTTCAAACTTTCCCAAAAAGTTTAACAACTTTTGTGGTAGCCCTCTTGCTCCTGTTGTGAGGATAACAGCTGTAAGCTCTCTCCTGAGGGGTTTGGCAGTCTTTGGAGTTTAGCTCATCATCTTACCCCTCAAGTGGGCTTAAGAAAACAGTTGTTAGGTGTGAGCAGTGTTTACTGTGAGCCTTCTCTATTGTAGTTAGAACTCCCTTCTTACCATGGCTAAAGTCAAGTCTTTTTACAACTACTTTTTAAAATTCTGAGTACAGGTTTTACAATATTACATTCAACTGTTTTACTTTCTTTATTATCTACAGGACATTTCAGACCATTTGATGATTTTCCTAATCCACTGTCTTATTTGCACGGCTGACATTAGCATGAACCTCTACCGAAGCCGTTGTCTCTGCTATCCCTGCTTTCTTAATTAAGAACGTTCACTTCTGATAATGACAACCTAGGAGACCAATATGTAAAATAAAGTAGGATTAGGACTTATTTATTAACTCATTTTAGGGAACTGTTTCTGACTACAGAAATTCAGTTTTAGTTTAGGTTTTATTGTTATGTTCTAATTTGGTCTGCAAGTGGCAGAGATACAAGTTAAGCAACTTCAGCAAGTTCGGTTAACAACATGGAGTATTTGTGGAAACTCAGGATAGTACAGGCTGGGTGAAGGCTAACCAGAAGCAAAGATGCAAAGACTGAAAGCTATGAGGATTCTCTTCATTTCTTTTCTTTTGATGTTGTTGAGACAGGGTCTCCCTGTAGCCCCAGCTGGCCTGGAACTTGTTATGTGGACCAGCGTAGGCTTGAACTCACAGAGATACCGCTGCCTCTGCCTCCCAAGTGCCGGGATTAAAGGCATGCACCACCACGCCTGGTCTTGGATTCTCTTCATTTCTTACTCGGCTCTGCTCCTCACTGAAGTCTGCCTCTCTGCAGACAGGCCTTGCTCATCTTTTGGTGCCCAGGTCCATCCTGGTTCCTACAGACAGCACCCATGCTAGATTTCCCAGTACTGACAAGAAACTTATCTCTGTGTGTCCCAGATCCATAAATTTATCAGGAGGATGGCTGCTTGGATGCCAAAGAAGAATCTAGCCTAGGACAGGAATCCTTTCCTCACTCATCTGTATCAAAGGCACAGGATCACTTGAAGTGATAGAAATCCCTTGGGCTACTGTGGTTAGAAGGCAAAGTTATATTGTGCATAGGGAATGGGCTCAGGCAACCATTTGCACTGGAGGTAGAAGGAACTCTTGGAGGATCAAGAGATAGAAATAAGGATCTGGTAAAAACTACTCTGAACTATGTTAATTATGAGGGCGCTTTTAAAAATCTCCTTCCTGAATATAACACGGGCTCATGAGCTTGATGTATAGTATATTAAGAAAAAGTGTCAGTTGTCATAACAAACAGATGCTTACTATATCTCATAAGTTTTTAATGATGTTGACATATTCTCATTCTAAATGGTAATTGTAGTACATACAATATTTGTCTGTTTATTTGAACCTTATTACCATAATAGTTACCTGTTTTATAAAATAAAAATAAGTATATGAACAAGTAGTTATTATCTCTGCCTTTTCTCCTAAACTGCATCAATGTACAGGACAAAGGCCTAAGTACCTTATTTGCAGTTCTTATTGGGGTAACTCCTGCATTTGAATCAGGTCTTAGCCTTTGAGATTTTTGATGTGGATGTGGTTTCATTATGGAAAGTGATTTAGAATACACTTTATGAGCCATGCAGCCAAAAAGATTTTAGCTATGATGGCTTCTAGGCATGACAGTTGTACACCTTTCACTAGGGCTGAACCTCCATAAGCGAAATTATGGAGTACTTACAGGCATACATTTTTCCTGTCAAGAACTAGGGGGCATGTAAAATTCATTTATGATTGATAGTAGGGCACACAGAGTTTAAAACCCACATTTTGAAAGTTAGACTTGTTAACCTTGTACAGTACTGTAACATGGTGCTTTAGCGGCATTAGAAGCACAAAGCAGTAACATTTGCTGCCAAAAGAACCATATTTATTAACTCAACAAAGCTATAAGGAGACGGATTTGAAAGGCAGAGCACAGTATTTCATCTTGAGAATAATTTTTGATCTTCATCATCAGAGGTCTCAAAATCACTTCCTTTGAACTGGACATAATCAATCCTATGAAACCTGAAAGGTTATGAATTTTTCATCAAGGCATTGTGGCTTTGAAGTTAACTGCAAATATTTATAAATCCTTTCTTCCCAATATGTATAAAGGCAAATGAAAATGAAAATAATTAAAGACAAGAGTCTTCCAACCTGTCCGTTTATCATCTCTCTGTCTCTCTTGTTCCTTTCTCTCTCTTCTCTTTCTCTCTCTCTCTGTCTCATCTCTCTCTCTTTCTCGCTCTCTGATGATTTTTGCTAGAAAATGTTTCATTGCTTAGCCCAGCGAGTGGGAAAGGAAAGATTATCTTAATCTGTAGATTATGCTTTACGGTAGGTAAACGTTCCAATTCATTGTGGCTAAAAATAAGGAATTTTAAGTGTTAGAGACTTTGTAGAATATATAACACAACTATAATCATTTTTTTAATCTTATGACATTAAATCAGTAAATATGAAAAGATGCTAGATTATTCTGTGAATAAAAGATACTTAATCCGACTTGAAAAACATAACAAACAGAATTATGTTCGTTGGGGCTAAGTGTTAGGACCTTGCTATTTTTCTAGGAAGTAATTTTTAGTTACCTTTCTTCCCCTCTTTAAAAGTAGCAATCTCAGGGCTGGATGGCTCACCCGTTAGGAACACTGGCTGCTCTTGCAGAGGACCTGGGTTTGGTGTCTAGCACACATGGCAGCTAACAACTGTCAGTAACACCAGTTCCCGAGTCCTGACACCCTCTTCTAGCCTCCTCAGACATTGCACAACACAAATACAAAGTAGCTATCCCTATCCCTAATAGCTTTTGTTTGTTACAATTCAAAAAAAAGAAGCATGGGACATAAAATAATACATGATATACTTCTACTCAAAGATGTGTTTGATTTTGTTTCAGGATTCATTTTGGATTGAAAGGCTCCATCTTGATTAATCCACATGAGTATAAAATCAAAAATGGAGTTTCTCCTGTTTTTGAATTGCAGCTCACCAATGATTTGATTTGTTTCTTTGACTCTTCCATAGAACTCAGGTAAAAAAATAACTGTGTTTAGCTATTTAATAAAAATAGGTTACCAAGACAAGGAATTTGTTTTTGTTGTTATGGGGTTTATGGTTTTTTTCTTCTCCAAATGGACTTGAACTTTTATTTTTGTTAGGAAACAGAAGAACTAGTAGAGAGATGTTAAACTTTAGCAAAGAGACTAGAGCAAGAACACCAAGTACTTTAGCTGCAAACAGCCAAGCCTCGATCTACAGGACGGCTTAGACACCACCCATGTATTTCATAAACAGCTTGTAATTGAAAAAACATCGCAAAGGAGACTTCATGTACTACCATTTTTAGGGTCTTCACTGTTCCCCCAATAACTCATATGTTGTAATTAACACAATATGTTTGCATTTCTATCAAAGCTTATTTTAAATGGCCCTGAAATTGTACGCCATACTTAGGATTAATGTGCTGCCTGTTCTATCTATAGGAACTCGATAGAAAGCCAACAGAGAATAAGAGTGATGGAGGGATTGGATGTGTGTTCACCTAAGTTCAGTTTCTCAAGAGCAGAAAATGAAGTTAAAAAGCAGAAAGATCGGATGCTGTGTGATGTGTTATTGGATCAGAAAGTGTTGCCTGGTGTAGGGAACATCATCAAAAATGAAGCTCTCTTTGACAGTGGTCTCCATCCAGCTGTTAACGTAAGTTATAAGTATTTCTAAAGTAATTTATACTTTATTTTTAAATATTGTTAAGAATCCAGATTTGTCCTGTAGTAGCAATTCTCTACAGACTCCAGGTGTCTTAAATCTTGGCTTTAAGTGTCAACTTCTCAGTGTGGGCATCTCTGACTATTTATTAAGACTGCATTGTAGATCGCCTCCCACACCCCTCTCCCAGTTGTCCTTAACTTGCTTTGTGTTTTCTTTTCCCTGTAACATGTATTACTTTTACTTTCAAACATGTTTAACTTAGTAAACTTACTGTGTCTCCTGAAGCTAGAATGACACCTGTGATGAGGGCAAGTTTGTTCTGTTCAGTGATGTCTCCTAATATCCATAGCACAGGGTCTAGCTTAGAGAGGTATCTGTGGGGTGTATAAGTGAATGAGTTAGACTTACCACTTGCCTTTTCTACCTGGCACATTAAATGCATACTCTACACCACATACATGCATTCCTATTTATAACTGTTGGTGATAGAAAGGGCTGTTTCAGTGAATCATAAAGATAGATTCAGGTAGCAGGGGCTTAGGAAGGGGCGATCAATGAGCAAAAAAAACATTTAGATTCTTAGACTAGCACGGAGAGGAAAACACTGGACTTCTTGAATGGGGGGCCAGGACAAAGAATGGATTTGTTTTTTTGTTGTTGTTGTTTGTTACTTTATTTTTAACTAGAAAGATATTTGTTTTGGTTAGGACATGGAACTAGTATAGATAGAGAGATGCTAAAAAAAAATTATAGCAAAGAGAACAGCTGAGAAGGTGGAGAGATGGAACAGAGCGAATAGATGTTTCAGCTTCCAGGCAGAACTCAGTATTGAGGCTTTTATCCATATGTTACTATTAACTAAATCATTTTCAACTCTGTTAACTTTTTCTATGTACTATTTTTATATCATATCATAATTAACTACTAATTATTATTAAGTTTTTTTTTACGGGAATCTAAAGATACCCTCTTGTTTTGCACATGTACTTTCTGGCAGATTTTGGTAAAATCTAAAGCAGCAAGAATTCAATTTTCAGAGAAACCAATTAGTGATAATTCTAGACTAGGTTCTGCTTTTTGTCACTTAGAATAAGTTCAGTGCAGCAATAATAATGAAGTAGAATCTTACCATAAATGAGTCTTTTAAAAGCACTTAAACCCCTATGGAGAATGTTTTTAAAGGAGAACCAAGGGCATGGAAAAAGCTTATCTAGGAGGCATGAGGCCCTGGTTTTGATCCTCAACATTAGAGAGCGAGAAGAGAGAGTGATAAGACAGAATGTGCTTTTTAAAAGTCTATTTATAGTTCTTTTTAAGAGAACTGGTAAGTGGTATTTTATTATGGTCATGAATAAATTATAAAATTCAGTTCAATTATCTTTCCACTTGAAGGTGTGCCAGTTATCAGACAAACAAACTCATCACCTTGTGAAGATGATCCGTGATTTCAGTATTCTCTTTTACAGGGTAAGAGCAAATGTCTTCAACCTTGTCAGTGGTTTCCCCTTCTGCACTCACAAATGTACAAAAGCTCCTTGTAGCCCTCTAGTGGTAAGACTGCAGAGGTGCAATGAGGAAGAGTGACAGCTTCTTGAAATGTTAGGTCATGGGTGGATCCAAACGTCTCACTGTTTAATTAAATTTTTACTACATTGGAGAACAGTTCTGTTAATCTTTTACATAAATTCTTGTTCTGGGAGCTGGAGAGATGGCTCAGCAGTTAAGAGCACCGGCCGTTCTTGCAGAGGGCTCAAGTTGGAGTCCCAGAACCCATGGCTGCTAACTTGTCCATAACTCCAGTTCCAGGGAATCCGACGCCCTCTTTTGACCTCTGTGGGCACTGCATGACACAAGTGCACTTAACATTCAGGTAATATGCTCATACACATAAAATAAAAATAATAAATAAAATTTAAAAATTCTTGTTCTTATTTTTTAAAAATATTTATTATTTTTATTTTATGTGTATGCATGTATTGCCTGCATGTAGGTAAGTGCACTCAGGCTGTGCAATGCCCGCAGAGGACAGAAGAGGCTGTCGGATCCCCTGGAACTGGAGTTAGGGACAGTTGTTAGCTGCCATGTGGGTGCTGGGATTCAAACCCCTGTCTTCTGCAAGAACAACCAATGTTCTTAACTGCTGAGCCATCTCTTCAGCCCTGTTTTTACTTATTTATTTATTTTTTGACATATAAAATACAAAGCATAGAGACTTCCTATTTGCCAGGTGTGGTGTCGCACACCTTTAATCCCAGCACTCAGGAGGCAGAGGCAGGCAGATGTCTGTGAGTTCAAGACCTGCCTGGTCTACATAGTAAGTTCCAGGCCAGCTGGGACTTTGTCTCAA